TATGACATGATTGATGTGTGGTAATAGGGACAGCGCGCGCTGACAGGCGCTCGTGCAGCACAAACGAGGAGAGCTCTGTTCTCAACAGAACTTCACACAGACCACATACGACAAGTTACACAAACCATTGAATCTATCACAGCTCCAACGATTCTCGTTACAAGTACACAGTCCAGAACGGTGCCAAAGTATGTTGATGAGCAATTGTAAGCTCAATAGCCTGTACTAGATTGGTTGATTAGTGACTTTTGACTATGGTACAACATATCAGAGGAATGTCTGTTCGTTATTATATACAGCGTTTGTTTTGTATGTGTGTGGTTTAACGTCCACGCAACAGCCACGGTCATAATATGGGGATGGATGCCTAGGGAGACACCGAAAAAACAGAACAGGGAAGCGAGAAAAGAATATAGATCCCAAGTATTGTGATTGCAATTTTTATTGCAATACAGTGGTTTGGAAACATATTTTTACATCCTCATTGAAAGTCTATGAATAGCTCCGTTATTCGACCATCACCTTCTGTTGTGACCTTCAACGTCTAATACAGTGTCTATCAAATCTCCATTACTACAGCAACACATTCTACTGGTCTACTGGTTATCAACCATTCGACGTCTACAACTGTCGCCGCATTAATACCTCGTTTATCGCTCTCTCCATCATTCGACCTTCACCCTCTAATATGAACTTCATCTTCCAATACTTTAGCCTATCATTCGGCCTTCACCTTAAACACTGCACAGACCCGTTGCTGTCTGAATCGATACATTTTTCCGTTCTCGCACCTCAGTCAATGCAAACACATTTGTTTTTATCCTCGAAAGAGTGAGACGTATCTGTCTTGTTCCCGGTGTGGGAATATCCGTGTCCAGCTTAAGAGCTGAGAGAAGGACCTTCCATTTGTAGCAGTCACATGCCGTGGAGTCAACAATACAGTGACGTCACCAATGCTTCGAACCCATGATGTCAAAGTTTTATTATACATATATGACAGGGTCAACAACGTAAGAGCAAACTAAGTTTTCATCGCATTGAGGTGAGATGGCAAGCTTCTTGTTTGACAACTTAAGAAGCTGAGATTTCCCATTCATTCTCACGCAAAGGGGTGAATCATTCTATACCTTCCTCACCCCAGATCAAGATTCTATTTATCTCATTCCCGGGGGTAAGATAATCTTATTAGTCCAACAAAGGTGCACTCCGTTAGTGACCTATGGTATTATGACGTCACAATCAGATGACGGTGCAACGTCAAAATGTCGTATGACTGACGATCTGCGGAGATGTTAATAGTTTCAACAATATGATCCTGGGACTAAGTCCCCAGGGGTTAGGCTGGATTATCGGACCAAAATTGGTAGTATATGTGTATTCGTCTTCATATCCGGAAATTGTACGTTTAGTTAAAAGCTATACGGTGCCCCGATGGGGATCTCAACTTTTCCAATGTTATAACCAAGTGAATAATTAAGTCCATTAGTTATGTACGTTTTTCTGATGAGAGCGCTGTCAACCAAATATGCTTGATCAATGTCGTAAATACGTTTTCTTAGACCCGTCTGAGTTCGTAAAATAATTAGGCCTTTAAACAAACCTACGCAGTCTTACTGGATATGACCTTATATTTTATTCCTTTATTTGAAAAAGAGGTCACACACGAACTCCCTAGCAGTCATATACATGTATGTGAGCACTCCAGCGCTAAAACGACCACCACGGCTAAATTTTCACACGAAAACATTCCAACTTTCACAGTTATATATGTTCACTACAATCGGACCAAGCACGGCCATTTCCGTGAAATAAAATCGTCTTTTCGTATACCACTGCGACATTTCAGAACATTGCCGGAATTTGTCGAGACAATACGTCAGATTTTCACGCTTTATTCACCACAGCAGAGATCACAATAAATCGAAGTAAGCAGNTAATGTAAAAATTTACACAAAACTTTGTAAATTCATAGAAAAGCTTGAAAAAATATTAACTTAATTTCTGTACTATTTGTGTACTTCTATATGTATCTATGCTATGTACAATGTTGTAATTGTGTACATCACACGCCATGTATCATACTTACTATATGTATGTGACCTCTTGTTACACACGTAAGTGTGTCGGAGTGAATAAATAAAACTTGAAACTTGAAACACACGTGACAACATAAATCACATTATGCATATTCCTATTAAAAAATCTTACAGCTATAGTCTCTTTGTATCTGAGTCTTGTATTGTGACCTGAATATAGAGGCAAATGTATATGCCTGCGTTCAGAATAATCTAAATTAATCTAAGTTAAAGAGTCTCATAGTATATATACATATGTACTGTTGCGCGGTGCCC